TGCGGAGCACCCTTAAGGAGCTGCCTGCTTTTTGACTATGCAAGGAAGCCTGGTAGGACGGCTGGGATCGACCCGGGGCCACCACGCCACGCTGGGACGCGCGACGTGCAGCGTCTCCGACTCCCAGGGACTTCTGGAGGAAAAACCCCTGGGATTTCTGCTGCCCGTGCTACTGCCTGGAAGCTCTGAGCATGCAAAAGTGACCTTTACAAATCTGAAGGCACCTTTATTTTTCCTCCTTCCCTTCTCAGTGTCCAAAGCACTTGGCATAACAGCTTTTCTGGATATGGTTATTTGGACAAACATTTTAGCTGAAATATTTTCTCTGCTGTGGAAATATCCACCTTGCGGAGAGCAGAGCTGAGCTCTGTTTGAGGTGGAGTTCCCTGCTGTTTTGATGTGCAGCTTAAATTCGCTGATGGAATATTTTAAAGGGAAGCTTTGGCATTTGCTAATTAGCTAAAAGGTTTGGCTCTCATTACTGAGACATGAAGGGAGGAGGGGGAAAAAAAAAAAAAAGGCAGGACAATTTTGTTGAGAGGCCGGCAGGCAGAAGTAAAGCTATAATTGTGCACACAGTTGAAAGGATTATTGTTTCTGACACTGGTAATCCTTCGTCTTTTACTTCTCGGCTTGCCAAATTCAGAAGTACGGCAGTCTCTGTTCAGCTTTGCTGGGAGCAGCCGGAGCCCTGTGAGCATCCCAAGGACTGCAGGGTTAGGAGCAATTTTCTTTTGCCTCTGGTTTAGGCACGTCTCCTCGGCGAAGCGAGCAGAGCAGAGGGCTCTAGAGAAGCTCTTCTGCCTGGTGCCCAGACTGGGCCTCCTTTGGGTTCTGCCTTTCGTGCGGGGCTGGCTGGCAGGGTAGATCCACAGCCCCTTTATCACTTGCACGCCAAGATAAAAATTCCCGCCTGGAATTGCTTTCTGTTTGTTTGGGGTGAATCTGAGCAGCGAGGGAAGGACAGGGTGGGCTCAGCAGCTCGCACGACAAAGGCGGTCGCAGTTCTCGGGTACGAGGATGCTCGTGTGCCTGCACCGGGGTCTCGCAGCAGCCTCCTGGCGCCCGCTGCCTTCTGGTGGTCTGCTGTACCCCGTGCCCTCTCTGGAGCGGGGGATCGCTCTGTCCAGCAGCGAGGCGGTGACAGAGGGGTGTATTTATTCTGTTTTGTAGCTGAGCAGTCTTCGAAACGAGTCACCCTCTTCGTTGCTTTTGGTTTGCCCTTACAGCTCTCAGGGGACGGGGTATAACCTGCTCATCCCACTGGATTTAAAACGTGATATCTCTTCCTTGGGTCCATTTTTCAGAAGTTAACTTCAATTTTTTGATGATAGCACAGCTAGCAGGAGGGCACGTTAACGTGCTGGGGAGGTATCTCTGAACTTGCTGGCGAGGGGGAATAAGTTTATGCACCTTGTAAATAAGGGGTCTGGAACTGGTAAGGGAGAAATCTAAGAGTTCTGTCTCTGCAAAGAGTAGAAAATAGGCTTGTGTTTGGGTAAAAGATAAATAACTGCAGAGCTCTGAGCGGCTGGGAGATGTTGCTGGCGTATACTGATGCTCTTATACCCGTGCTCTTTCTTTCTGCCCCGTAGGTGTGTTTGGTGGCCGTGGCCGAGGAATACCGGGCAGTGGAAGAGGCCAGCAGGAAAAAAAGCCAGGCAGACAATCAGCAAAGCAGTGAGCGGCTGTCTGCACCCTGGCCGGGGACAGTGCTGCGATGCCGTTTGGGTTTTATCACCTCAGGACTGCCGTATGTTCAAAAGCGTTACCTTTCTACTCTTCCGTCAGTTGATCAGTGCCCAAATCATGTCGTTTGGAAGCCCCTCGTAATTTAATCTGGTAAAGTGGAGTTATTCGCTCCTTGTAGTCAGCAAGTCATTGGAAATATTTAAAAAAAAAAAAAAACCATTCATGGTTAAGGACCTACGTTCTGCCTTCTCCTGAGAGTGAAAGCGTATTTAATTTTTCAGGGTCACCGGGTTTAATTTAAAAGCTTAACCACGTCCAGTGGTATAAGAACGAAGGCAAACACTTTCTGGATTGTTTGGATTTTTTTTTTATACTTGAAACTTGGGAAACTTGTTGCATTTGTGACAGATGCGAGTGTTTTGGTTTAAAAACACTGAACTTGAGGATCTTGTATCTTTACATGAGTAGTCTTAAGGGTTTGGGGTTTTTAAAAACAACAAACTTTTAAGATATTGCTTATCTTCTGTTCCTGGCCACTCAGTTCTGTCCCTCTCCTATGGCTTGAAGGAGAACTTGGGATGAACCTTGCATTGGCCTTCGAGGCTTGTTTCCAAGAGAGCTTTGTGATAAATGAGGGTTTCCCAATTAGCGTATTACTAATTTGGCTTCAGATTAGAAGTTTCCTTTAAAGGAAAGGGTTTTCTGTGTTTTCTTGTGGAAGGCTGTTGTGCCCCTTACTCTTCGTGTTTGGTTTTTATTTTCTCTGAAAAGCAACCGAGCTGTTAAGTTGATTTATTTTTTCCCCCACTTTGAAAACTCTCTCCCTTGTGCCCGCGACACAAAGTCCTGAACTCTGACAAGATTTCTCAAGCTTATTTCTTCTGGTACCTAGTGATTGACTTCCTGATAAGCACTCGCCAGTTCCTTTTCTAGTCACCGATTACCTTTCCTTGGGGACACAGACCAGCGTGTGAGCGTGTCCCTCCTCTAGGTTAAGAAGGCTCCTGTGAATTCCCAGGTCGGGTTGCTCCAGTCTTCCAGCCCCCGGGGAGCAGGGTGCCACGAGCGAAATGCACCCGCAAAATATCCTGGCTGATCTGAATCCAGTGTCTGCATGGGGGCACGGGGGGAAGAAAGAGGCTCTGGCCATGCCTCAACCCCCTGAATGGATGAAATAACTTAATTTTAGGGGAAAAGTTGATATTGTGGCTTGTTTGGAACAGTTTTTTTTGTTTTGGTTTGGTTTTTTTTACAACTGATTCCCATATTGAAGCCTACTCTCTGCCATCGCCACTGTACTGAAAACGAGTAAAGAACATGCTTTTATATATACTTATTTTTTTAACGTTTATAGAACTTGTGCACAGTGGGGAGTAGGAATAAATCGCCAACCTGTACAAAACGACTCCCTCTCTCTGTCTGCAACAGCGCTGAGCCCCGCCTGACCCCGCGCGCTCCCGCAGCTGCCGGCTTCACCTAAACCCTTGCTCAAGCCCTGGTACGAGTAATAAATCCCCGAGCAGACGGGCTAAACCTTTGGTTTCTAACAGCAGCCACGTGTTCTGCGCGGCCGCCTTTCCTCGGCGAGGCGTTAACCGGCAGCGCCGGCCCTCGATCCCCATCCTGGGTGAGCCAGCTTCTGCCAAGGAGCCAATTCCAGGCGATGGGAATGGGGCACACGTGTCCTCCCTCCTGGAAACTCGCTCTCAACGTAAACACCCGTGTGGCATTTTAACAAAGCCCAGGCCGAGCCCTGTGTCAGACTTTCCCTTCCCAACCTGCTCCCTCCCTTTCGAGTCCCTCCAGCCACAGAAACTCCATGTGTTACAGCTGCCTCGGTGAGAAAGGAAACGGCTGCAGCGCTGGCTGGATTTAAGGTCTGTTCTGGCCAGATAAATCTTCACCGCAACAATGGGACCTTTGGCTTCGGCTCAGGGTACAGTCCTCCAAGTACGCCTTATCTCCTGGCGAAGCTCTGGGGTCAGGCGGTGCAGCTCGTTAAGTTCTGCTTTCGTTTAATTACAGCCACAGGCTTGAGCAGCCTTCCCTGCTTGCCTCCCTCCCTCCTTTTTCCACCTCTGTAGGAATATTGTTGTCCCGAGCCATGGCGCAGCCCCTGCGAGGGCGATCGGCCCCGCGCGGCAGCAGGTTGGGTGGAAGATGGCTCTGTAAGAGCGGCGTCGAGCCTGGGCATTGATGCGACGCTCACCTCCGGCTTTGGGCCTTTCTGCCCCAAAAAGGGGTGTCTGGGGCTGCTGCGTACCCCAACCCTGCCCCACAGCAGCGCGGGGAAGGGTGCGGGGAGGCGAGCCACGGCTGAAAAAAAAAAAAAAACCAAAACCCAAACCAAAACAGGGAGGAGCGAGATAAAAGCAACAACCAGAGAGGAGGAAAAAGGTCTGAGCCTCGCTGCCGGCGTGGGTGGGTGTGCGCAGCCTGGCAGGGCGAACGCGTCCCGGCCGGAAAGACGGGCTGGGTCGGGGGGGGACCAGCAAAGGCCACCCTGGAAACCCTCCCTGCTCCCTTCCCGTGACATTTTCGTGGTGACCGGGCCCATGGCAGCTCCGGCAGCCGCGGGGCCGTGTCTCTGGTGCTGGCATTGCCGCACGGCGCTGCTGGCCACCCCGCGGTGACTCATAACTTCTGTGCCTCGCTGGGGAGGCAGCACAGGAATAGTTACCAGCCGCCTGCGACGCGGAGGGAGCGGCGGCTGCGCTAAGCAACTAAAAATACACGTCAAACCCTCCTCCTCCTTTTTCCTTTTTAAATGTGTTTTCTTTCTTTCTTTCCTTCTTTTTTTTTTTTTTTTTTTTAAATTCTTGCGTTTGATTCTCAGAGGCCCCCGCGCCTGGGGGCAGCGCGGCCCCTCGGGGCTTCCTCAGGGACCGGCATGGGCTTGGGGGCAGGCGCTGGCAACCGGCAACTTCTTGTTTTCCCGGCTCGGTTCCTCTCTCCCTCGCTGCGGCAATGACTAAGAGGTGGCTTCCCCTGCGCGCCCGGTGCCCGCGGTGCAAATCCCAGAGTGGCAAACGCTCTCCTGCTTGTTCCCTTTTCCAGGGGTGGCTCAGCGTGCTGGGAAAGCAGGGGGATGTGGGTGCATCTGCGTGGCTCGTGGGCATCTTGCTTTGGGTCCAGCCTGTGCCCTCGGTCGGAGCCGAGGGTGTCGAGCGGTGGCGCGGCACCTCATCTCGGCTCCTGGCCGGAGCGGCGGAGCGGGATCAGGCACCACCGGTGTAATGGAGCTGGTGGCACGCAGAGAATTGGCCTTTTGGGGCCAGGGAAATGGGGAGAGCAGGACCCGCGCGGGGATGCGCCGCGCTCGGAGGTGCGAGGATGCTCTGGTGAATGTGGCCCCGCTCGAGGCTCGCCGGGCCTCGCCGAGGTCTGGCGGTGGCGTGGGTTCACCCAAATCCTCGCTGCCTGCTCCGGGGTAAATATAGCCCGGCTGGCAGGTGGCAAGGCGCAGCGTGACTCAGTGGGTGCTCGCGGGGCCGAGCCGGGCTCCGACACCTCCGGGAATAGCAGCTTCAGCCACCAGCCCCCAGCCGAGGTGATGGTGGCACTGCCACCGGCTCCCTGGACGGGGACCGCCCTCCTCGTGCTCCCCATGGGTCTGCCCTCGAGAAGGGCAGAAGGCGGAAGGGGCCGCTGAATCATGACCCTCATTAAAGGCTCATTAGGAAAATGAAGCTGCCAGCTCGCCGCGGGCATCGGGCCGCCACCGGCGAGACAACCTGTGGTGTCTCCGGTTTGGGGACAAGGGACGCGCGGGACGAGCACCAGCGGTGACGGGGGGGAGCACGCAGTGGGGGACAGCAGGATGAGCCCTGCAGGGTGCTGCGACCCTCGGGGAGGGATGCTGGGGGATTGGCAGAGTTTTGCCGGCGGGTAGCGACGGCTGGGCCCGGCCGGAGCGCGGCTCGTGGCTCGCATCCCTGGCTGCCGGCCAGCC